GACTTTACAGGATGAGGTTCCTGACTGACATCAGGGCATAATTCTAATCGTGTTTCTACTTTACAAAATGTATACTTTACATAACCGTATTCTGATCGTACAGCATATTTGTTGACATGGAGGTAATCTTATCTTATGTAAAGTTTGGCGTTTGAAACCGTCGGAGAGCTTCACTTTTTAACAACATTTCAGCAGCATTTTTTAAAACTTTGGCTTGAAAACTCAACGGTTTGACATGCCTATGTCATTTTACTTCAGAATCTACGAATTCAATAAAATTCATATTTTTAGGATAGATGAGTTGATCTAACAGCGATATCTTAACCTCATTTCTACCCTCATTATTGTTAACGTTTTACATTAGTAAACACGTTTATGAATTCGATGAGATTCGTCAAACAGTTTTGTCAGCTTTCTATTTCTTGCGCTGAGGATTCAAAAGTTTTCAACCAAATGCCGACAGGTTCTTATATTACTTCTTCTTGACGTCGATAATAGGAAATCGTCAGCAGTTGATAGTTTATAGTTCAGAATGCTTAACATGTCCTTTCATTTATTTTCTGCTGGTTTTTTGTTCTTTCTTTAAGTCGCATAGTCGCTTTTCTATTACGTTCTATCTCTTTCGACGCAGTAGCTATATTTCTTATTGCTGCTTTACATTATTGAACATTGCGGATTCACTTTTTGCGTTATACATTGAAATAAAACAGCTAGAACAACCAAAGGCGTCAATGGTTTTCTTTTAACTCAAGAGCTGTTGGTTTTATTTGTCATTCCAATGACTTACCTCTTCTATCTTTATCTCTTATCTGCCATACACATTTGCAACTTAATGAAAACACAAGTTGTCGTAAGTTCTTAAACTCCACCCGATTTTATATATGTCAGAGATGTTCATATATACCATGTCGCATCTTTTTCCATAACTTTTATGGTTGCAATCGATATCTAGAAACTCAATGAATTTACCACTTTTCGTAATGAACTTCTTTTTTCTACTGAGTCAGTTAGGTTTCACTTCTAATTTCATCGAAATCAGGAATAGTGAGCTTTTGTTTTGGATTTTCAGGCAATTTGCAGGTAAATGAGTAATAATGTCCGCATGTCTGAAGATATTCTTCACATTTTTTCTTATACTGTGACGGTACCAGGTCTAAAATTAACTTGTTAAAAGTTTCTTGCTTTATTCTTTGTCATTTGACTGTTTCGAAAGTAAATGAAGAAGGAATTGAAGGCTTTTGCATCTCTACTAACATAGATGTTGGATTCGCATGACGTAAACGAGTTTTGGTGCTGTTGTTTGAATATTTGTTGTGCGATTGCTTGAAAAATCATATTTTTATACAAATAAAAAAAATAAAAAAATAAGAAACTAATTTTATTTTTTCTATCTTAAGGAAATTCATTGAAATTCATGAGGGTAGAAATCGGGTTAGAAATCGGGTCTAGATTAACCACTCTACCCGTAAACATTATTTTGACGGTAAATTATCACTTGACTGACTGACTGAGCACCATGTGAAATAAGAAATTCGGCTGTTTCTTTTTTCTATTATTTGCTGCTGCAATATAAAGTGCGGTTTCTCCATATTTATTTTTTTCATTGATATCGCACCATGTGAAATAAGAAATTCGGCTGTTTCTTTCTATTATTTGCTGCTGCAATATAAAGTGCGGTTTCTCCATATTTATCTTTGTCATTGATATTCGCACCATGTGAAAATGAAATTCGGCTGTTCTTTTCTATTATTTGCTGCTGCAATATAAAGTGCGGTTTCTCCATATTCATTTTTTTCATTGATACTCGCACCATGTGAAATAAGAAATTCGGCTGTTTCTTTTTATTATTTGCTGCTGCAATATAGTGCGGTTTCTCCATATTCATATTTTTCATTGATACTTCGCACCATGTGAAATAAGAAATTCGGCTGTTTCTTTTATTATTTGCTGCTGCAATATAAAGTGCGGTTTCCATATTCATTTTTTTCATTGATACTCGCACCATGTGAAATAAGAAATTCGGCTGTTTCTTTATTATTATTTGCTGCTGCAATATAAAGTGCGGTTTCTCCATATTCATTTTTTTCATTGATACTCGCACCATGTGAAATAAGAAATTCGGCTGTTTCTTTTCTATTATTTGCTGCTGCAATATAAAGTGCGGTTTCTCCATATTTTTCTTTTCATTGATACTCGCACCATGTGAAATAAGAAATTCGGCTGTTTCTTTTCTATTATTTGCTGCTGCAATTAAAGTGCGGTTTCTCCATATTCATTTTTTTCATTGATACTTCGCACCATGTGAAATAAGAAATTCGGCTGTTTCTTTTCTATTATTTCTGAATAAAAGAAACATTTATTTATATCATTAGTTTGATCGAAATAAACTAAAATGGATTCAAGATTATTGTATATTCTACAATAATCTAAATTGATCTTTATATTGTACTCATTCATCAAGAATGTAACGAAATCGATGTTGTGTGAAATTATTGCATGTTTCATGCATTCTTTATTTGGTTTTTGATGTTTCAACCATTCACTCATGATCTCTGGATTTCCTCCTAAAAATGAAAACTTTAAACACGTTTCAGTTATTTCTGAGTTAAATTTCGTTCTTAATAACTTGAAACAATCAACTGCGCCATGATAACAACATAATTCAAGTAATGAATATCCTTTATAAGAATCTGGATATAAATGGCTTTTAAGACTTTGGTCTTTATCAAATCCTTCTCGTTCAGTGAATAAGATGAATGTTTCTAGGTCATTATACATAATTGCCCTGTAAATTGTATTTTCTGTATGAATGCCAGATTTTCTGAGTTAATTTTTTCAAAATCATCAGATTTGTATAATTTAATTCCATATTTGTGAAAGTAAAGTAGCAATAATCGTAAAAGGGTATTGATAGGCTTGCTAAAGTAACTAATTTTAGCTGTCAAATACTTTTGTATTTTGAAGTAAATTAGTATAAATTTGTTTTTACTTTTATTTCGAAAAAGTAGCAATAATCGTAAAAGGGTATTGATAGGCTTGCTAAAGTAACTAATTTTTAGCTGTCAAATACTTTTGTATTTTGAAGTAAATTAGTATAAATTTGTTTTTACTTTTATTTCGAAAAAGTAGCAATAATCGTAAAAGGGTATTGATAGGCTTGCTAAAGTAACTAATTTTAGCTGTCAAATACTTTTGTATTTTGAAGTAAATTAGTATAAATTTGTTTTTACTTTTATTTCGAAAAAGTAGCAATAATCGTAAAAGGGTATTGATAGGCTTGCTAAAGTAACTAATTTTAGCTGTCAAATACTTTTGTATTTTGAAGTAAATTAGTATAAATTTGTTTTTACTTTTATTTCGAAAAAGTAGCAATAATCGTAAAAGGGTATTGATAGGCTTGCTAAAGTAACTAATTTTAGCTGTCAAATACTTTTGTATTTGAAGTAAATTAGTATAAATTTGTTTTTACTTTTATTTCGAAAAGTAGCAATAATCGTAAAAGGGTATTGATAGGCTTGCTAAAGTAACTAATTTTAGCTGTCAAATACTTTTGTATTTTGAAGTAAATTAGTATAAATTTGTTTTTACTTTTATTTCGAAAAAGTAACAATAATCGTAAAAGGGTATTGATAGGCTTGCTAAAGTAACTAATTTTAGCTGTCAAATACTTTTGTATTTTGAAGTAAATTAGTATAAATTTGTTTTTACTTTTATTTCGAAAAAGTAGCAATAATCGTAAAAGGGTATTGATAGGCTTGCTAA